TCACCTCATAATCTATGGAAAGTTTAGTACAGTGTGGACTCATACACACAGATGTTCTGTAGTTGTTGTTGCAAATTAATGTGTTTTGTGTTCCTATTGACATAGAGGGACATAATACTGGCAGGTATGATACTGAAAAAAAAAGTCACGGGAGCACCACTGAGCTCAAGTTGTCGTACTTCTGAGCAGGTATATATTGGGTTAGGTTGCCACCCAGGTTTTATAAACTCAGTGGGACTTGGTATGTATACACACTCATTGTGTGTACGTATACATAATGAATGTGTGGTATGGGGCACACACTCATTGAGGATGGAGCAGCACAAAACAGGCACTTTCACTATTTGGCAAATGGTGGTTGTGGGATTCTGGGCAGGCGAATGAGAGGAAGGATTAGAGTACATATACTCTATGTATGTAAGGGACGTGGTGGTGCTGCGGGCTAAACCGCAGAAGCCTGTGCTGCAGGGTCAGAAGACCAAGCAGTCGTCAGATCGAATCCACGTGACGGAGTGAGCGCCCGTCGCTTGTCCCAGCTCCCGCCAACCTAGCGGTTTGAAAGCATGCAAATGCGAGTAGATTAATAGGGACCACCTTGGTGGGAAGGTAACAGTGTTCCGTGTCTAAGTCACACTGGCCATGTGACCACGGAAGATTGTCTTCGGACAAGACGCTGGCTCTATGGCTTGGAAACGGGGATGAGCACCGCCCCCTAGAGTCGAACACGACTGGACAAAAATTGTCAAGGGGAACCTTTACCTTTACCTTTACTCTATGTATATTGTGGTTCTGATCCAAATCAGATGCCTGATACTTCCTTTTATGTTCAAAGCTCTATCTGGACCATAGCAGGTAGTCTAATTTGGAGCTAAGTGGAGGCAGAGAGATGAAGACACACGCACAGCATGAATAACACAAAAAGCACAGGCTAAACCACACATTTCCAGCAACACACATGTTGTATATGGGATTGTATAAAGCAATTCAATCAAACATGCACATTGCACATGTGCACACTCATGTACCCCCTGTGAGTGCACACAAACACATGGCCATCAATACATGGTGCACATTCTTATTTCCATAGGCATGCGTCACAAACATTCATACTGGGCAAGACCCAGAAACAACACAGCTCACTGATGTCCACATTCATGTAACAAGGTGGTTCCCAAACTGTGCTCTGCAGCCATATCTGGTTGGTTTGCAAGACATTCTTGGCCATAAACCAACACGTGGTTAGAATCTGCTAGAACAAGACTGCGGTCTATAATGGTTCTGTCTTCGTCGTGTCTTGTGTAGATCTATTGAAATAAATGGAAGACGTTTTTCATGGCTGGCTTAAGTCCCACAGATTTCAGTGCACCTACACTAAGCATCACTAAACCTGATTCTAATATTACACAGCCTAGTCATCCAAAATTGACTATCAAACATAAGAGTTGATGACAATTTCCTCTTTGCTTAGGAGCAACGGTGAGCAAATAAATTGACAAGTAATTCATTTAACAAATCTCGCCTTTTATTGTGCTGTTAAAACATCTGCAAGCAGATGATTATTCCTATTTTTTAAAAATAAAATATTTAAAGCAGAAACACAAAAACTTTCAGATGATACGGTTTTGTCTGCTAATGGGATAAGCATGCGTGATCTCCTCACTGTTTGCTTTCAGCTATGAACTGCTCTTTGTAGATGTTTTCAGGAAAAGGCTTTTTTTCATATAATAGTAAGAACAAAGAGGACATAAAACAAGGCCAGTACAAATCCATGACAATTCCTTTCTTCAGTGTTACTAAGGCACAGTCCAGAAATTAAACCGGTGCCGGGAGGGAAACCTGTAGTGATGAAATATTCCTCTTTATCATCATATCCCCAGGGAGGAAATCTGTTGTTACAATTTTCTTTTTTTTTTAAGGAGTAGAAATCCTATCTGTAGATGCATGTTTGAGTAATTGCAGGTTCATTGTACAGTAGGGGATTGGTTCCAAGCCCTCCCCTGTGGATACTGAAAAGCGCAGAAAGTAGCAAACACATACCAAATACAGTAGGACCCCTGTATTGTTGCACAGCAAGAACAATAATTATTTCAAGGAAAAAAGCACCTCTCACCCTCTTCAAGTTCAGCTGTTCCAGCAAGCCCCACCACTGCCACCAACTTAGCTAGGCAAACAGACCTTTTCATAAGAACATAAGAAGAGCGCTGCTGGATCAGGCCAAGGGCCCATCTAGTCCAGCTTCCTGTATCTCACAGTGGCCCCACCAGATGCCTCTGGGAGCACACGAGACACCTGTCTCCTGATACCCCTCCCTTGCATCTGGCATTTGGAGGTACCTTCCTTCGAAGCCTGGAGATTATATATCCCCATCCTGGCTTGTAATCTGCAATGCTTACAAGCCAGGCAGAGGAAACAATTTCTTTCATTTTCCCTGAACCCAGAGAATGAAAAGACTCACTTTTTTGCATACAGATGAACTCCTGTACAAAATCTGGGGGAGGGGGCACAGCTGGTTCACATCAGCTGGGAGAATGGATGGGGTGGGGAGCCGGTGATGGAGGCAGGGGAAGTGCAAGAACCAGTTGGGTCTTCCTCCTCCTCCTCCTCCTCTACAAATGTTGATGTTCCATGCTTTGGGGTGGGGTCTGTGCACCTGGGAGCCACTGCCACTGCCCCCTTTGGCCCAATCTCTCCAGTTCCTGGTACAATTGCAGCCATTTTGGTCAGCAGAAGCCAGGATTGGAGCATGCACGCCTCACTTGTTTCACGTTGGCTGAGGGCCAACACATCCTGCGCCTGGGAGACCTTGAGTGACAGGGAAAGAACAAGGAGAATCTCATCCCCTGCTGGGCTTAGCAGGGAGCTCTTCCTCGCCTCCTACCTGGTCCAAGCATTCTGAAAACTTGGCCTAGACAACGGAATGGTTCTCTAACATCCTGAGAGTTGACTGGTCGGGTCACCCATGGCAAAGTGAAAACTGCGGCTATTGATCCAGTGGATGCAGAGGTCCTACTTTATACTTTTTTGACATGTTGGAGACCAGAATCCAGATCCAGATTAGCATAAGAGCAGAACCATGGATGGTCAGGATATTTTAAGGTCTCCTCTTTAAGTGTCTCCAATGTCCTCTCGCAGAACTGCAGACCCTCCAGAGGGGTGACATAGAAAGCCCAAGGAGATGTCAACATCAGAAGGAGATGGTGCCCCTTTTTCTCTATGCACTAGCACAATGGTATTCCCAACCTTGGGTTTTCAGATGTTGTTTTCCATTACTTTTTAGAAGCCTTGATCAACACAGAATCAAAGAATAATTAAGTCGAAAGGGACCTATAAAGCCACTGAGTCCAACCCTGTGCTCAATTCAGGAATCCAGATCAAAGCAGATTTGACAGGTGGTTGTCTAAATTTCTCTTGAATGGCTCCAGCATTGGAGCACTCAAATCTCCCAATTTACTTGGTTCTCTTGTTGTACTGTTCTTAACAGTTAAGAGGTTTTTTCCTGATATTCAGCTGAAATCTGGCTTCCTGTAGCTCGAGCCCATAGGCCAACAGTAGGGCCAACAGTAAGTTGATGATATGTGGAGATTGGCAGAAGGGCTTTCCATGTGTGTATGGGGCTGCATGGACCCCACATGGTGATTTCCTCTGTCAACAGGCTAAATACTTCAAACAGTATATAGGTAAACAATACACTTTCATATGTTTTTAACAATGTACTTTTCAGTTATATGTCACGGAGAGGGGATCATAATCACCCGCTGGCTGCATTTGTTTGGCAAGTAATGTCAGGAGTGTTAAATCTGCATTTGTTGGTCTCATTATGCCAGGCTTCTTAAATCACATTGAAAAGAAGCTGTGGGCTGGTGTATGCATTGGGCTAATTCCAATTCTTCTTGTTTGCCCCAAGGAGAGCAGATGGGATTTACATAAGTTGTTTTAACAATTCCCATTCATCCAATGAGTCTGCTCTGGCTGGGAATAACAACTGTATTTAGATAAGAAAGAAAACAGGCAAGGAGAAATTATTGTAATGTCCACACTGGGATTATGATTCACTGCACCCCCAAAAACAAGGATTACAAAGCAGCTTTGAACTGGTGTTTGTTGTTGGTTTATCAGTCCTGCTTTATTAGCTGCAATAAACCAGAATCCGCCTTGGATGTCACACAAGCTATCCTGGCCAAACTTGTTTATCCCAGTGCATGTAAGGATCAGTGGACCTACACAAACTCATTCACATTGTGATTTAGTAATCCAGGACTTCTGGTTTGCCTAGCCATGCAAAGGTGGTCATTAAATATGTGAATTCATTAGCAGTTCATTATGCTCTTTTTCAGAGCATGACCTATGTTTTTGCAACAGGAGACAGCAGAAATTAAGCCTGAATGCAAAGCAAGGCCTCTAGGAATGTGTTATATTCACCTCATTCTAAGAATTTGTGTGCTGTCTTCTTGCAAATAACAACTGGATTTTATATTTTTAAACTGGGGGTTTCCATTATTGCTTATGGTATTGCTGTTCTATCATCCCCCCAGTGTTAGTTCTTGATGCAAACCTTACAATCTTCTATCAGGGTGAGGTGTGTGTGTGTGTGTCATTCTAGCTTTTATTAACCTGCCAGTCCCATCAGCATAAGCATGTGTAGGATAATGGGACCTGCAGACTAAGAGCAGCTGGTGTCCACAAGCCCCCCTACACCTCATGGCTGAACCTAAGATGATCGTCAGCAGTTTTCTCTCATTCTCTGCTTCAAAGCTGTGGCTGAACTCAGACTCTAATCCTTTTGTTTTCTTTAGCATCTTGTCTGACAAAGAGTTCTTGAGCACCCAGAAGCTTGCACACTGTTTTGTGACCTTTGAACTAGGTAAATAAAAGTATTGTGGTAGTACGGGACTTGGATGTGCCAGGCTCCATGTTAAACATACAGTTGTTATATCTGCTATTTTTAGATGTTTGTTCCCTGCCCCACACCCACCCATAATGATCAAATACACACAACTTACGGTTTGTGACTTTGGCCGACAGTATCTGGTTCAATTTCTCTGGATACTCTACATTGTCCTCATCCGTTATGGATTCAAAGTTCATAATAAACATCATGGCTACTCCCTCTTGGTTCTTGACTGGGATGATGTGGGTGTTGCAAATGAAGGTGGACCCTAAGGAGGAAAAACATGTTTAGAATTTGGTAAGTGAGATGTTTTTTTTTTGTTCCAGCAACGTCCGTGCTGTTAACCCTGTGAAGATCAAAACAACCCAATGAAATGCAATCATTATTGTTTTGACTCGACATTGCATCTGCTGTACCCTAATTTCAAGAAACAAAGAAAGGAAAGGATGTTTTTTTTAAATCCATATTGACATCTTCTTCTCTGAGACTGGAGGGAACCCATGGTATCCATTCAGAAGTTACACTGTGTTCTAAGATGCATGTAAGGGAAAAAAACTCTGATTGTTCACACAGGTGGTATGCATATATTTGAAATAAAACTACTGTATTTTTCTGTGTCTAAGACACCCCCATGTATAAGACGCCCCCTCCCACTTTTCTAATCCAAAATTAAGAAATCTAAATGGGGCTTAGCAAGTGTAGGAGGAAAGGGATAAAAGTGCTACAGAATCGCTTTGATCCCTGCTTTCCCCTCCACTTGTTTTTGTTCTCTCCTCAGCTTACCTCTGTGTATAAGACGACCCTCAGTTTTTAGTCTAAAGATTTTAGACAAAAGTATAGTCTTATACACGGAAAAATACGGTATATTATTAAACAGTGCAATCTAGCAAATTTTTCATGATAAAACACCCTTTCATTGATCTCAGGTAAGATTTGATCATTAGGACTGGATTATGCCAGGTGTGGCCAAATACTTTGGCAAGACAGAAATCTTGACTGATCGATCCCTTTAAATGCAAGATGGCCACTTAATTGCACAATGAATTTTCTTTGTTTACTACCATCTTTTCATAGTCTCTCTATCCCCAATAATATCAAATGGATTCACAGCCATACATCACAATACATTATTTAGAGATGTGAAGTAATCTCATTAATGTCCTGGTTATGGCTGCACACAGTGAGATGGCTGGTCCAGAATTCTCCAGCTGCCACAAGAGTTCTCGCCTCTAGAGCAAGACCAGAGACATCAAATTTTGGTCTTGGTCAGTGCAATTTCCTCAGAGTATCTGCCATCTTCTCCATTTCTAATGCTAAACATGCATATATGCATGCACATGGGCAAACGCACAAATGTACGCGCACACACACCAAGTACAAAAAGGCAAGCTGGTTGCCCATAGTAATGTAAAAACAATCTTCATAACATTCCATTTTTGAAAAGATTCTCTGCAACAGAGCAGCAGTTATCATTCAGCAATGATACTGAACACTGGTCTGGCAGATCTGTACATTCTCTCCAAGGACAACCAAAAAATCATGCCTTTATCTTTTAAAATGTATGTATCCATGTATACATGCATGTATGTAGTGCTTTCTTGTTTGGTGTGTGATGACAAGCCATGTCTTCCTTCCTTCCTTCCTTCCTTCCTTCCTTCCTTCCTTCCTTCCTTCCTTCCTAGGTTAGAACCAACACTATGAATTTTGCCCGGAAATGGATTGATATTTACGTCCTTACAATTATTTCCAAACTGAAAAATTCCTTTTAAACTACACTCCAAGTTCTCACATTTTAAGCCAGAGTGTAGTCCATTTCCACCAAGGGAACGGCAGGTTCAACTTGTCAAAGGCATACTGTCTGCAGTACAGTGCATGCAGAAAGAAAACAGCAGTCAACAGCTCATCATCCAGACAGAAAACTGACCTGGAAAAGTGGAACTGCTGAAACAGTTAGATACACAGCATCCTTTTGTTATTGTTCAGCTCAGCTTATTAATTACACTGGCCACTAGCTATGCCAACAGGGTAATAATGAGAGCTGAATACATCTATAATGTAGAATCATAAATCATTAGTTGCATAAGAAATCCAGAAATACAAACCCTCTGACCAATAAAGGTCATTTCCGACACTGCTTTCTACACAATTTTGAGCTGCAAATAAGACACGTTTTCCCCATTTTAATTTCTCCATGTAATTAGCAGATGGAAAGAAGGAGATACTGCTAGCTACAAAGCATGGATTAAAATTTCATGCATAGATATTTAAGGCAAGGTAAGATTATATGTAACTTAATAATGAAAAGGTACTGTTCCTTGCGACAAGGAAATGCCATCTGTCATATTTTCATGCCTGTTCCTTACTAGAATGACATGTCAATACAAAAATAGCAACAATTCAATGTGAACTGGTTCCAATACATGATGAGACCTTCGCAATTTGGAATCACAGTGAAGAAAAACTGGAAGAATTTCTAAACCATCTCAGCAGCATCCACCCAAATATACAATTCACCATGGAAAAGGACATAGAGGGCCAATTCCCATTCTTAGATGTCATGGTCATACATAAAACTAACCTCCTACTGGGACACAAGGTCTACAGAAAACCCACCCACACAGAACGGTACCTACACAAAAACTCCAACCACCACCCCCAGCAAAAAAGAGGCATAATCAAAACACTGGTAGACCGTGCAAATCGGAACTGTGAAGCTCAATTTCTCAGCACTGAACTTAACCATTTGAATTGGGCCCTACAGGCAAATGGCTAATCCAAAAATCAAATCACAAGAGCCATAAAACCAAGAAAACAACACCATACTGAAGAGGAAAAACAGCCACTCACAAATAAAATATTTATGCCATACATCAAAGGGGTCACGGACCGCATGGGGAAACTTTTGAAAAAACACAACCTACAAACAGTATTCAAGCCCACCACAAAAATACAACAACTGTTATGGAGAGCAAAGGACAAAAGGGACCCCCTCACCATTGCAGGAGTATACTGAATACCTTGCAGTCATGGCCAGGCATATGTTGGAACCACAATACGCAGCATCCACATCAAAATCAAAGAACATGAGAGACACTGCAGACTAAAACAACCGGAAAAATCGGCAGTAGCTGAACATGCCCTAAAACAAGCTGGACACGAAATTCTATTTCAAAATAGTAATGTACTGGACAACACCAGCAATCATCATGTTAGACTGCACACGGAAGCCATTGAAATCCAGAAACACCAGCAGAGCTTCAACAAAAAAGAAGAAAGTTTAAAACTCAACAAAGCCTGGCTTCTAGCAGTGAAAAGTTACAGCCTCTCTACCCAGCCACAAGGACCAGAGATCGTTGCAGAAAAATGACCAGCTAATGACACCCATCAATCACAGTGACAGATAATCTCTCCCCCTTATCACAACAATACACCCACAACAAAAACACACTGATCACCATAATCACCCAATCTCCTCAATAGGACCAAAGCTGATCCTACAGCTATAAATTCTCAACTATCCAAGCAAAGTGCACCAGAATACAGAGTTCTGACTCCTGTCCTCCTGCCCACTGGCCACAGAGACTGGTGAAACGTTAGGAAGAAGAAAAACCTTAAGAACACAGTCAAACAATCCAGAAAACCCACAACAACCAATTCCATGTGTGTCACTCAATGGGAACCCTACCAATTAAAATTGGTCTTCATCATTTAAAAAAATTCATAGATAGATAGATAGATAGATAGATAGATAGATAGATAGATAGATAGATAGATAGATAGATAGATAGATAGATAGATAGATAGATAGATAGATAGATAGATAGATAGATAGATAGATACTGAAGTCATATATTATAGAAAGAAATCCTAGTTCTGCGATACAGCACCTTCTGTAGTCCCAGATTCACCCGTAGCATTCATGGGCTCCAAAGTAGTGAGATGTAGAGTTTCTTTCCAAGGAACCTGAGCGGGAATTGCTAATTTGAATACTCAATATGGGGCTAGATGTGGGGTAGGCAGAGCATATCACTGCATAGCAAAGACCTGTCTGAATGAACCAGAAGAATATACTAGATGGGCGGGACAGAAACAAACAAACAAACAAACAAACAAACAAACAAACAAACAAACAAACAAATAAATAAATACTAACTCCATGACATAAGAGACGTATTAACACAATTAGTACAGCATAGATAGGCGGGATATAAAATAAATAAATAAATAAATAAATAAATACTAACTCCGTGACATAAGAGACGTAGTAACACAATTAGTACAGCGTTCTAATAGCATACACACCCAAAGGTAAGGATATTCCTACACAACATACATATCCCTAAATGGTGTGGACACCAGCCAAAGGACATCCTCATCTCAGCCTACTAATGTTCCAGGTAATATTCTGACATGAGGATAACAACTCTCTATCCACTGAAGTGTGCTTAGTGTTTTTTTCCAACATTAAACACCAACCTTGTTTCCCGTAGGAAAATGACATGCATCACTGCTAATCACTATATTCTGGAACTAAATAAAGGGACCAAGAAATGCTTAATGTGGTCACCCACCAAATACTAAGCTGCCCATATGGTGCATTTCTGAGTGGAAGAAAAGTTATATAAACTGCACCAAATAAAAAAACAAAGGGCAGTCTGAGGGACACAGACCTGGTAAACAGAGATGGTAGAACTTACTTATTATTAACTTATTTTTTTTAAAGAATTGCCCCATTTTTATCTTTAAAAAGGACCCATGGTGGCTTACACAAAATTAAAAACTAAAAACAGAAAATTATTCAAATATTAAAGAAGAACTAATAAAGTTATATTTAAAATGTTAGGTGAAAGCATTAAAACTCACACCCACATTTAGAAACAATAAAATACAAACCACCCCATTTACTGGTTTCTAGACAGTCAGTCACTGAGGGAAGCCTGCCTGGAGGGAAAGGTCTTCGCCTGCTTGCGGAAGGACAGCAAAGATGGGGCCAGTCTGGCCTCCCATGGGAGGGAGTTTCAGCGTCTGGGAGCAGCAACAGATATGGCCCTCTCTCATGTCCCTACCAAATGCACCTGTGAGGATAGTGGGACTGAGAGAAAGGCCTCCCTGATGAATATAATACCCAGGCAGGCTCCTAAAGGGAGATACGGTTTTTGAGATACCTTGGATAGCTTTAGGGCTTTATAGGTTAAATCATGCATGGAACTATATTTTTGCTATATTATGTTTGTATTTCTGTCTTCTGTGTTTGATTGATTCTTGCCA